ATTGCCTTTGTTTACCAGGGAGGAAAAGGAGATGCCAGGGTAGCACTTGATGGAATTACTACACGGATCTTATTCAGGTCAGAGGTTTAAGAGGACAGGCAGGAAATTAGCAACGAGAAAGGGACAGGAAGTGCTGGAGACAGTTCAGTGTGAGCCAACATGTGGAGGTTTCTGAGATGAACACTGCATTGCTGCCTTTGAGTGGCTGGAGCCACTTGGGTTGGAGGAATTGTTTACTGTGATGGAAAGGACCAGAGAGGCTCTTTGTTCCTGTAATCTCTCCTCTCTTAGAGGACTGTAAACAGCTCTTTCTGGGCAGCTCAGGGCTTGGCTTGTTGCTTGCATGTATACTTTGTCAATAAATGTGCAGTGCATTTAGCTAATTTCTAGACAACTACGTCAGAGAGCTACTGTACCCTACTCAGCAGTAGGCTTACTCTGCCCAGTAAGCTCACTCTGTCCCCCCCATCCAGCAGCTGTCGTCTTCTACATGTAAGGAAGACATTGTCTACGTGGTACCAGGTAGGGATGTATCTCAGTGTAGAGCATTTGCCTAGTGCATTCAAGACCGTAGCATCCATCCTAAGAATGGAAAAAGCAGAAACAAAATACAGAAAACCTCACAAAGTAGCATTAGTGATATGTGATATTTTATTTTGAACATAGGGGAAATTTACAAATACCTCTGATTTGGCGTTAGCCAGGCAATTTTAAATAACCCAGAATAGAATTAATGAAGGAAAATATACACAGGCTGGAAGTCCCTGAGAGAAATCCCTGAGTACAAGAACTCCAGAATAACTGCCTTGGAAGGCCGGTTAGGCACGGCATGAGAACAAACACTTATTATCCAATAAAACCCTTGATTAGCAGACACAGGGTGGGGGTACGTCTTGAAGAGAGGATCCCTGAAAGCACATTGGCCTTTCCTTCTCCTGTTGCTGGGATTCATCCCAGGTGGGAAAAGTAGGTTTCTGAGGCTGTTGAAAGCCCAAGGCTGGGTAAGAACCCCCTGCAAGTGTCCCACATTCCCAGGGGAGCACCAGTGCACAGCTCTCTAGGATGTAAACAATGCCTTCGGCTTGAGTGACTGTGTTCCTTTAAGGGCACAATTCACGTGGACCAAACACACAGTAGCAGAGGCCAAGGATTCCTGAGAGTGTAGGGCAGTCAGGGAATGCACAAGCCGCTGGGCCTGGTGGCCTGAGCTGTAATCTCAGCAGGAGGGAGATTGTAGAAACTGTTATTGTGATATTGAAGCCTGTTCAGGCTACAT